ATTATTCGAACTGTTATCCCAATCTTCATATTCACAACATTTCGGCCGTTATACGCTCCGACCTTCTTATTCTACTTCTATGTGCCATACCGCTGATCTCTCAGTTATTTCCGTTTAACTCAACTATTCAATTTTCGGTTAACTACTGCTGTGGCCTGGGATTGAACTCACAACCATCATGTCCCAGTACATAAATACGCTGGATGAATCCAATGAGTAAACCCAATGATATATATATATATATGTCAACATCTATGGCTTGACAATATATATATATATATATATATTAGATTTCAATGTCCACTTTTGTATATATATATATATATATATATATATATATATATATATATATATATATATATATATTAGACTCGACACACACACACACACACACATATATATATATATCGTCATCTGTAAAGAAATAATTTGCATTTCTCGGACTATCATCTGCTATATTTATCACAACGTTTTGGCCGTTGTACACTCAGGCCTTCTTCAGGCGGTTAAAATGTCGAACTGAACCCTTTTATTTCGCCCGCTTGGGTAGACTGTTCTAGCTACACGTGCCATGTCTAATGGATGTCAGTTATCAGTTATCTTCTGTTAATTTCCCTCTGCCTTAACAAGGTATTGAACTCCCACTGTTTGGGTCCTGTCACTGGATCTAACTAATGCCTTTATGCCATGAGGATATCCTTGAGGACATCTGTGTATGAATTTGTGGGTATTATAAATCTAATGTCTTCAGCACCATGTTTTTGTATCAGTGCTCATATTGCAATATTTGCTGTTATCATTTCATGTTTTTTTACCAGAACTAATATTTCAATTTTTTTTTATAGTTGTTATTGCTTTTCTGTGGCACTCCTTATTACTGGCTCCCATATTGTATTCATTTCTATGCTTGGTCGGCTCAGGAGATTTTTTAGAGAGCGGGGAAAACCAAATATCCAGTCAACATGATAGTGTTTGGAGTGATCACTAGTGAAGGCGTTGTTATACCTCCGTTCATCTTCCCACATAGCCTCAAACTGAACATGGAAGCCTACTTAAAGTGTAGGAGGTAATGCTGCTCTGGGTCAAGTGAGTGGCTGCTGGAAGCCCCCTATATCTAGCAACAGGGCTCTACCTCATGACACACAAGCAGGAGAACCCATTCATAACTGTCAGAGAGTTTCTGCGACCACATCACCTGTTTACATCTGCCCACCTAAATCTGCAGACTCTAACCTCCTTGATTATTGTGGGTCGGGTGCAGTTGAGCTAGAGACCAACAAAACTCCTTGTAACACCAAAGATGAACTGAAGGCAAGGATTATGGCAGCATTCACCAACTTAAACATGGAGACCATCCCCAAAATTTACAGGTGATTCCGAAGTCGTCCGGAGGCAGTGACTGAAGCCAATGGCGATCTTACTGAATACATTTGCATTTCAAAATATATTTGGTACATGTATCTGTTAAAATGCGATATCAGTGTTATTTTCATTTTTGCGTCATTTAGGCGACAATTTATCCATCGCTCCCTGTATATCTGTTAAAATGAGATGTCAGTGTTATTTTCATTTTTGCGTCATTTAGGCGACACTTTATCCTGTATATCTGTTAAATCGCTCCTGTATATTTCATTTTTCATTTAAATGAATTTATCCATCGTGTATATTTTAAAATTTTTGATATTTTCATTTTGCGTCAGGCGACAATTTATCCATCGCTCCCTGTATATCTGTTAAAATGAGATGTCAGTGTTATTTTCATTTTTGCGTCATTTAGGCGACAATTTATTCCTCGCACCTGGTGTATCTGTTGAAATAAGATTTCAATTATTTTTATTTTTCATCATTTAGACGACAATTTATCCCTCGCAACCTGTATATATGTTAGAATGAGTTGTCAGTGTTATTTTCATTTTTGCGTAGTTTAGACGGCAATTTATCCATCACAACCTGTATATGTATATATATATATATATATATATATATATATATATATATATATATATATATATATATAAAGAGAATATGAATGAAACCTGTATGCTGCCGATGGGCAGAATCAAGAAGCCTACACGGTAATAATGGGAAAGAGGCAATCAATTTGGGTGTGAGAAAATTTAAAGGCTTGTCTAATCAACATAAAGAGAGGATAAAAGACTTCGTAGATAGGAAATCATGAAAAGGAACATAGCAATAAAGAAGGATGTGACGAGGCCTTGAACGTCAGTCACAATATAAAGGAGAACAAAAGAGACTAGCTTAAACCAGGAGTGGTATGCGCTAGAAATACGTACCGGGATAATCCTTTATTGCTCTGATTAAACATGTTTTTGGGAAAAATACTTAACTATATTATTTACATAGTGCCGAGTTAACGTAGTCTTAAATAGTGCCTATTGCTGTCATGGTAACGCAATTTAGTTTTAAAACAAGAGTTAATGTGTATATAATTGCTTGTCTTATTATAATCCAACCGACCGTCTATTTAAATTGAGTACTAGCACATCTACACAAGCGCAGACTTCAAATAAATTCTCAAGAACAGGTTCGTTTAGAAGATGTACACTCAAAAGCGTGAAAAAAATTGTACAATGTAAATCTTTGGTGGCAGTAGAGAGTCACCTGTCTTAATGTGTATGGGTTAAATATAAATGAGATGGAAGGGCAGGTCTGTTGACATTAAGGAATATTTCACTCGTCATGACTGGCTTTCTACTTGATGGGTCCTTTATGAAATGCAAGGACCCCATTAAGTTGCTGCAATTTTCTCTTAATTGCAATTGCATGTTGAGTTACGAGGGCTTTTGGTGTCCACGCCAGGTTATTAGATTGCAAAGAGTTTTATGGCAAGACGCCTCTGGGTTACTCTTCGTGCCACGTAATGTCGATTGCTTCCCATGACGACCTTGTTGCTACCAACTCGTGGAAAGTTGTCGTTAATACAACAAGGTAATCGAAAATTTTCGTGTAAATATTGTTAAATTGCTTTCAATTTGTAATTTTGCTTGGCTTAATTTTTCCTTTCTTTCTTTCAATTTGTTTCTTTCCCTTTCTTTCCGTTAATTGATTTCCTTTTCGGCATTTTGGCGCCATCATTTTTCTTTTTCATCGTCTGCTTTCTTCAATCTTTGTTATTCTATTCCTGCGTTATTCCTTCTCAGTCTCACGCGCGAACTTTTGTTCGCTGAAGATGCTTAATTGCTATGGGCCACATACGATCCCTGATCAACAACCGATTACAAAACACATCAATCAGATAAGAACGGGTCTATTATTATAATTGTTATTATTATTAACAAATAGAGAAAAACACTCTTTCAGAAAACAAATAGAAAAAGAAATAAGGTTTTACAATGTTCAACAATATTTCGATCGTAAATCAGTCTTCTTCAAGTTATGTTTACCAAATTTCATACAAGTATAAAATATATAAAAACAAATCTCCAAAATATTACTAGTCGTTGTACAAACGTAGCTTATTTTGAGGAAAATGGTTGTACTGGTAATCAATGCGTCAAAATGAATGAAACTCAGCTATAGCGAACGGATATGCAAATTAAATGTGCGTATTATGAGGATGCTCGTGCTTATCTTGGAAATTTCCGTTAGTTGATATTTTACTAAGAGGAATTAATCAAATAGCTTAGTATAAATTCTATGCAACCCTCCCGTCATTCTGTTTGGCTAATACGTTAGTAGTTTTATATGTGACTATCTAAGCGTTTAATAAATCTAAAGGTTAGTGAATTCTTCTTCTTCTTCTTCTTCTTCTTATTATTATTATTATTATTATTATTATAATTTTTTTTTCCATTTAATTTCTATTGTATACGCATTTCCCTTTGGAAACCTAATATCAGAAATGGCTTCATAACATTTTCTCCTGATCATCTTTCTAAAAAAATGAAAAAAAAACAACAAAAGAAACAACTTAAGATCACACAGATTTTACATAGATAAAGCCCTTCGTAAGTTGTGAGCTGTAGTTGTGAGTCCAATTTTGGTGAATTTATTTAAGGCATGGGCTATCAGAGATCCCTTCAATGTATCTGTCAAAAACTTTTCCAATCAAACCTGGAAAGCAAACCACAACGGAAATTATTCATTCGCTATATCTTTTTAGTGTTCCACTTCAAGGTCTTTGTACTTTTAAAAGTTTTTTTTTTGAAAATCTCCAAAGACACATTACAATCTGCAGGAACTACCATGTCAATCAGAAAGCATATTCTGTTTTTGCTGTCTTTGATCACTATGTCTGGGTAATTATTTGATTGTTCTACGTGTATTGTAAAGTCATTTAAAATTATTACAGGTCCTTTAACTGGGTCTCGGTGCTGGTACACACACCTGGTTCTTGCGGTTTCCTTCCCTTAAAAGTTGCAGGTGTTCCACTGCAGATATTGGACCATCCTGCCATACCGATTTTTATATTCAGTAGGTGCCATTACTATTTTCTTTCTCTTTTCATTTAACAGATAATGGTATTTTCTAGCAGACGTGGGCGGTTATCGCTCCCCCCAATTCCCTATTCTTTGTATCTGTTCGCAATAATTTTCTCATTACTATACCTCACAGTCGCTGTTTGTATAAACTCGTTAGAGAAGTTGCTCACTGTTTCCCTCAACCCCTGTTGTCTTCAGATGGTCTTGTGCGTGTTAATGTTATTCAAACACTTTTTCTTCATTAGTTGTCCAAGAAATTTCAACAATCTCTCGCAGATCCTAAGAACGGGTATTTTTTTTATGTTTTAGTTTTTAAAACTTACTCGTTACACATATGTTTTATCCATGGCATTCTCATCTGCCTTCAGTAGAACCACGTCATTGTTGCCTCAAGTCTGCATTTCATTAGTTAGGACATTTCCAAGCAATCAGTGCTATATAGAAGGATTAATTCCTTTTCTACGGCTTAGCAACCCTTTGCATTTTATTTAAATCCAGAAAATATTTTTAGCTTGTAAGAAGCTTTTGGTGATATAATAGCGCTTTAGAGATAGAAGCTTACAGCTGACCTGGTGTTCCTAAGTGGTCACCCATCTAAGTGCTGACCAGTCTCGACGTTGCTTAATTTCGGTGATCGTAAGGGAACTGACCTTTCAACTTTATATGGCGGTTACATAGCGGTTTGGCGCTCTTTTATTTGTATCTAACGAAATTTTCAGATACATTAATACTTTGCTTCATTTCTGGAAGGCACTTTCGCTGTTCCGATGAACCTCCGGATTTCCGTGCCACATTTTTCGTCGCCTGTTAAAACACTTCACAGTTTTATTTATTTTTACTTTAAAACACTAGATACAAAGTCAAAGAGCCACTCAATGTAGAGTTTTACTAATTTAGCGTGTGCTAAGGGCGTAATTGAGTGGGGAAGGCCAAATTAATTCCTATATATCACGAGCATATTTAGGATTGATGTCGGTTGACACTAGACATAAAAAGATTTTAAGCGGCCCATGATACATATTCCTGGGAATAACAAACGTAGGAATTCTGTGGGAACAGCTGTCTGTGATGAACTTTCTTCTGACTAATGGCAAAACAAAAAAAAAAAAAAAAACAAACAAACGGAATGGGGATGATTGACGCCTTGGACATGGCAGGTGTAGCGAAGGAATGGACTTCCGTTGAACATTTAAAATCGTAATTTCTCTTTGTTATGCTAGACATTTTTCTCATCAGAATCTTTATTACATATTTATAAGTCTACCATTCGTCCATGCTTTGAATACTGCTTCCACATCTAGTTTGAGCTACCTGTTATATATTTAGTGATTCTTGATAAAATTCAAAGAAGAATCTGCAATGTTATCGGTCGAGAACTGTCATCTCGGCTTCAGTCATTTGCCCACCGCCGCTTCTTTCTGCCTGTTCTATAGAATAATTTCATGGTAATTGTTTTGATGAATTTTCCGATTTAGAATCTGGACTTTATGAGTATTACATTGGCGACAAGGACGCATCTTTTTACAATTAAAATGGCTAAATGTAACCGCAATTTATATGTTGACAGTTTCTTTTATCGCACTTCTCGGGGTAGAATTCTCTTTTTGCTTTCCAATCAACTTTGATCTTCAAAAATGTAAATGTCAATCGTTATCTTCTGTCTTCTTAATTCCTGTTCTTTTATTTTTCTCTGTCCTTAATAGGTTTTTTTTCTCATATTCTCTAACACTCAGTAACCCCCTTGCGTCTTAGTGGATTTACCGCCTTGCTTGGGGTGTAATGATTAAAAAAAAATTATTTTAATCATTTCACCTCAGTAGAAAGTAGAGGATTACGGAGAGTGAAAGAGAATTCGAAATAATTTGGAGAGAAGTGAAGAAAGGACAATAAAAGAACATAATTCAGGAAGATAGAAAATGATTTCCGTTGCATTTACAATTTTGAAAATCGTAAATGGCACGGAAGCAAGAACTTGGAAAGGATTTCCACAGGTGAGAAGTGCGAAAAAGGAAGCTGTTAGAATAGAAGTGGTGATTGCATCTCCCTAGTTCAATTACAAAACAATGAGACCTAGTTGCAAATCTAGTAGCACGCTTAAATTCATGTAGTCGGGCCACAAAGGAAAAAAAATCTCATCAGAACAGTTGCCATGAAAATATTTGTAGAAAAGACAGAGATAAGTCCCGTCACCGCGGTTAGAAATTGACGAAGTCGAGATGCCAGGTCAGGATCGTTTACATTGCAGATCTATCTTTGATATTTGTCAACAATCTAGAGATATGCCCCAGGAGTAATATATACAAAATTCAGGGTTTTTTACATTAAATATCCGAAGGTTAAATAAATCATTTGTATTTACAAACATATGTAGATGAGTTCTAAAAGGATTAACATTAAACTTTAGTCTAGTTAATTTCTTTGGGTAGTTGGTCCACATATGGTTGTGAAAATAATTTTGATTAGTTGGCCCAAAGCCAAAACTGTGTTTGAGAAAAAGACTTTTATCGTCAGGGAAGATTCACTGACCACCCCTGCTGTTGTTGTGGAAGATGATTCGTTTGAAATCGCCGACTCATGTCTCATTCAATACGCGATTGGGTGAAGGAAAAAACTATGTAGTCGCGTTTTCCCTTGTGTGTGAAGGGCTTCGAGAAATCTGATGCTCAAAGTCGAAATGCGTGGCTTTTTATGAGAAATGTTTCCCGAAAATAGACTCGAGAAAAATAGGGTTTTAGTTTATTTCTGATTGGTCAAATATTTCACATGGTGATATTACTTTCTAACCAATAGAAATGGCTTGTTTGTAATATTGCCGGTTATTGGGCAGAAAATAAGGTTTGGATGAGTTTTACTGTTATATATACACTTGTGAAAATTTATTGAGACGAATAATTCTTTTATTATTTAATTTTTTTCCGTATTTTTCAATGAAACCTGACCCAGTGCATATGTTAGTATTTTGTATGTCCATTCCGCAAAGTTGGTCCTTGCAGATTGACCATAGATTCTCGACTGGATTTAAATGAGGAGTTTTCGGGCTAATCTCTGGTACTTTGATTTGCTCACTGGTAAAGCTTGCCATTGCGTCCGTGCAGCGTTAAAATTTCCTTACGCTTCTTGGAGTAACGTACATCGCAGACAATGGTCACAGGACAAATAATCGACAGTTGAGCCAATAGTGTCTGGGCGTGATAAAAATCTGATGCAATCACGAATGACGCAATATTTTTCAAGGCCAAACAAATTTTATCACACAACACGAAAATAGATTCATATTACTGCACACCACTGCAAATGACCTAATCAGAGGAAAAAATTGAAATCCATTACACACTGTCACTCCAGTGGGTCTAAAACTGATCGTGAGGTGAAATTAAAGAAACTAAAGCGGTTGTTTCAATTAATTTGCACAAGGGTTTATGTAAGTATGTAATTGGTTTAAAAGCATTAGAGTTGATAACTAAGTAAATATATTCGCTCCACATCTTCCCAGTGGAAAGGGTGAAGCTAAGAAAGTGTAGTGTTGCTCTTCTGGAAGCTAGCTTCAAACAGGTTCAAACGGTTCGCTGTGATGATTAACTGAAAGCAATTTTTTTTTTATTGCAGGCAATAAAATTTACAAAGTATTTCCTTTCTAAATTAACCCCAGTTTGGGGGTCTTTTTCAAGAGTACTTGCCATATTTACTTTGTAGGGTCTGTTAGATTTTCTACTAAGACAGAAATTAATGGTAGTGTCATCTGCACAAATGTTTAGTTACGAACTGATGACATCAGGGAGATCATTGGTTGGATATCGTAAAGCTAACGTGCCTGGCATCATTGTTTTATTATTGTGATTGAGTATGATAACTTTTACTGTTATTAAAATGTTTATATGTAGGTAAAGGTAAAATTCATGTAGAATTAAATCATTTCAGAATGGTGTTATTATTATTATTATTATTGTTGTTGTTGTTGTTGTTGTTATTATTATTATTATTATTATTAATAATATTAATTTATTTCCTTTGATTTCTGGTGTGTATACATTACTTTCCGGATCCCGTAGAAAGACCTAATGTCAAAAATGACATTTTTCTCAGCAATTTAAAAACAAAGACAACAGACATATTTTACATAGATAAAACCCTTTGTAACGTGTGGGCTGTAATCGTGGGAAAAAATTGTATTTTTTTAAGGCATGGGCTTCCAGGAATCCCTTCAATTTGTCTGTTGGAATCTTTTCCAATCAATCCGAGGGCTCCAACTACAGCAGGGTTTGCTGATGTTCTCACGTGCCAGATTTTTCGAGATTTCGATTTCAAGGTCCTTGTATTTTGATAGCTTTTTGACGATCTTCAAAAATACATTGCAGTCTGCAGGGACTGCCATATCAATAAGGAGGCATTTTCTTGTTTGCTGTCTCTAGTAACAATGTCTGGGCGATAATGATAATCAAATATCATTATTAATATTTCCACTGATTTTTGTATATTAATATCCTTCCGGGTTTCAAGCAGCGACCTAAATGTCAGAAATGGCATGATAACATCTTTTACTGAATATTTACGGCGTTTTAAAGAATGTAGATATTACACTCATTTCACATTGAATGCCTTACGCTTCAAACTTAAAGAAAAGCACTCTCAGTATAAGACCGTAATACGGTCTGACTGCTTTAGCTCCTGAGCATAGTTTCTCAATGCGTCAAGTATGTAGGAACGTAGCCATCTGTTGAGGGTAAAGGAATTGGTAAACAGAATTATGTGGTACTAGACAGAATATTTACGCTAGCCCATCCTGATTCACAAAGATAAAATATGTACAATTCAATCATCTCGACACGATCACAACTACAGTAATCGATGAGGGTCGTTGGGGCGCCACGTGTAAAGCAGTAGTAGTAACAGTGGTGTGTCTTGGGCAAGATGGCCTGACGGAGCCCCACTTCTTCAGGTTAGGTCGAATTCTAAGTTTTCCTTCTAGAATAGTTGCCGCCCAAGAGTATAAGACCTTGGGCTGTTCTGGTATTGGACCATCTTCTAAGAACAGAAGAGATGTATTCGTAACTTTCTCAATGCGATTTGTGCTTAAGTGAATGTATCGAACTAGATCGGAATTCGAAATCGGTTCTATATTTCAAGCCACTAACCATCAAACAACCTCTTATGCATAACACGCTAATATCTCCATTCAAGATTGAAATCCATTATTATTATTATTATTATTATTATTGTTGTTGTTGTACAGGAATAAAGTGTCGCTGCCAACATTGGAGTTTGAACACGGATCGCCAGATAGGAAATTCAGGCGATCCTATTATTGAATTATGGGGGACAATGGGGGGAAACGTATAAGTAGGAAGTAGCGTGACGTCTAAATGATCACCATGTCTATTCTATCCTCTATTACTATATGATTCGCTATTTTCTATATTATTCGCTATTTCTACACTATTTCTCTATACTGATCAATATACGGATTACTATTCTGTGGTTACTTTCCTAGCGAGTATTATCAAGCAAGTAATATTAGTGCGAGTGATATTAGAAAGCGTCTGACACCAGTATTGTTCAACGGCGTTACTATAGTTGTATCTGCGGTTATAACGTCTCAAAGACAAAGAGCATTACGAAAGTGACAATGAGTATTCGTTGATATTACAAAAGTGACAAC